AAATTCTACCATAAATATTCCTTATTGAAACTAGGTAAGGTTCAAGATGTTGCGATAAGATATTCAATGTGGTGAACAGAAGAGGTACCTGCAAAAAAATAATTAGCACTCCAACGCTCAAGTTAGTAGATGAATAAGATGAAACTTAAAAAATATGAATAAAAGAATATCTGACTTTGACATGAAGTCATTCTTATATAATGGAGATGGATATAACTATCTTTGATTTGTTCAGTGTGAAATGTAGGCGACTTTATAGTTGTAGATCAACGGTAGAGAAGGAAGGGGGTCGTGTTCTTGTAAGTTGTCCAAGAGTGAGAATTCACTTTATTTTGCAAATTCTTACTAGATTAAACATGAAGATTGGGGCAAGTCTTAAAATAAAAACCTAAAAGAACTGAATAACATCACCAAATCATTAGCATACTCCAAAGTTAAAACCAACAAATTCCAAATCAAACTTCATTCAGAAAACTAAAAAAATCAACCTCAAAAGATGAAGATAAAAATAGTATGTTTACTGTAGCATTAGGAATAGAAACAAAATTTGGGTTAGTAGCATCTAAAACACTTTTATTCATATTAGAAGAAGTATTACAAGGATAAACATTACAATGTTCAATAGAGTTTGCTATAGGAACTGTACTTAGACAGAAAGAACTAGGCTTATTACAATTGCTATTCCTATTAGTTTGCAGCTTGGAAAGAGTAGGATTAGCAAATATGTAGAGGCCATCAACTCCCACGGTGCCATGAAGAAGAATCTCAAAAGAATCCAGCAATTTGACAGAACAAAACTGAGGATGGAATTCAAAGAAAACACGATTATCTTGAGCAAACTTATTGATACTTAGGAGATTCTTAGTGATATGAGGTACAAGAAGAAGTTTATTTAGAATAAGAGTGGAATTTGACTGTGTTAGTGAGGGAAAAGGCATAGAACCTACCGAGTTAATTAACAAACCTTGGCCATTACCCATGTACACTTGTTCAGTACCATTCAGAGATGAAGCATCAGACAAAACCGAAGCATCAGGTGTCACATGATGAGATACGCCAGAGTCAGGGTACCACCACTGATTACTGAAATTAAGATCAGAACCTGCCAGAAAAGCTTGAGGAACAGGTTGTCATGGTGGTGGTGTAGCACGAGGAGGAGCATAGCCATACACACTATAGGTAGGAGCACGAGGTGCCACGAAATAAGGATTGAATACAGCTCTGGGAGTGTTGAACGAGGGAGTTCCAGGATAAGTATACCTGTGGTAGCATACAGACGCATCATAACCAGATTTGTGGCAAATTTGGCATGGAGATTTCCCAAATCTACCACCACGTCCGGAGCGACCTCCACCACGCCAATTTCGTCTACCACGAGTTTCATAGCCATGAGTATCAGCATTTGAAGTAACATGAATAGTACCAGTAGGGAACTCAGAACCAGATTCCACACTATCAGTGGTGGACTGTGACAGAGCTGGTGATGAAGTTGATTGAGCCAGATTTAGTGTAGCAGACTCAGTTAGGGCATACTTAGGATTCTTCTCAAGGCACGATTCATGAGCAAGAAGACTCGACTCAAGCTCATCCAAAGAACACAAATCTTCTTTGTTGTTGATCGCTGCTACAATAGCATCGTATTCCTCCGAAAGTGCATCAAGCACTATTTCAATTAGGTTTCGAAAGGGAACAGGATCACCGATTGAAACCAGAGCTTCTCTAATATCACGAACACGAAGAAGAAATTCTGTGATGTTGCGCGAACCTTTGGTCAGGTTGCGCAGCTCATATCGAAGTTGTCTTGCCTTCGTAGCTAGCAGAGTAGTGAAGTGACGGTGAATTTCAGTCCACACCTGCCACAAATAGGTGCAATCAACCAGTTTAGGAAGAAGAGAATCAGAGATCGTGCTGAGAAGCCAGGTGCAGATAAGTGCATCATGTTGTTCCCAATCGAGAAACGCCGGATTTTCGCCACCGGTAACAGGATCGGCGTCGGCGAGGAGGCGTAGAGATACAAGCGAAGAGGGAAAGCTTGACAGCTCAGCAAGTTAGATCGAGGAGGAGCATAGCCATACACACTATAGGTAGGAGGAGCACGAGGTGCCACGACATACGGACTGAATGGAGCTCTGGGAGCGTTGAACGAGGGAGTTCCAGGATAAGTATACCTGTGGTAGCATACAGACGCGTCATGACCAGATTTGTGGCAAATTTGCCATGGAGCTTTCCCAAATCTACCACCGCGTCCGGAGCGACCTCCACCACGCCAATTTCTTCTACCACGAGTTTCATAGCCATGAGTATCAGCGTTTGCAGTAACATAGTATCAGTAGGGAACTCAGAACCAGATTTCACACTATTAGTGGTGGACTGTGACAGAGCTGGTGATGAAGGTGATTGAGCCAGATTCAGTGTAGCAGACTCAGTTAGGGCAGACTTAAGATTCTTCTCAAGGCAAGATTCATGAGCAAGAAGACTCGACCACGAATAGGTGCAATCAACCAGTTTAGGAAGAAGAGAATCGGAGATCGTGCTGAGAAGCCAAGTGCAGATAAGTGCATCCTGTTGTTCCCAATCGAGAAAAGCCGAATTTTCTCCACCGGTAACAGGATCGGCACCAGCGAGGAGGCATGGAGGTACAAGCGGCGTCGTGACAAAGCGCTGAGGCTTGTGTCCTTTGATTACGCCTTCAATTTGCTGTTTCTACTGTTTAAAATTTTTCTCATCAAGCTTCACCGAGATGAGATGTGACAGTTTGACATGCAAAGAGGGAAAGCTTCCCTCAGAGTTGAAAGGAGATGTCATGGAAGCGCTAGATCAAAAAAAGAGCTCTACATACCATGTTAAGATAATAGAAAGCAGAGAAATTGTAACAGAATTGAGTTTCAATTCTTTTATCTGAAAACAATTGCAACAGAACTATATATAAGCTGAGATCTATGATCTATGACAGCTCAGCAAGTTAGATCTAACAGACTTGCCAACTCAGCAATCTAACTAATACAGAAAAACAAGAGTAACCTATAGTTATCTCTAATACTATCTACCCTGAAATGACCAACAAATATCACAAGAATAAACCCAAATATAATCTTCAAGAATCTAGAGTACCCATCAGATTTGAAACTAACTAGAAAACCAAAGAATTAGGTTTGTTGTTTATAAGATCTAATGCAAATTGGGATAAACAGGATATCTATCTCAAAAAATTCTTATTTGGTTCATAAGAATAATAAAATGTAGTCTTCTTTGAAGGTATGAAAGATGGACTTTAATACATGTAGATTCAAATTTTTCATATTTAAATTATAGTTAAATAAATATCTATCATGATTATATCATAAATAAATACATAAGACCCTTAATTATTATCACAATTGAACCATAATTAACTTACAGTCTCCATAAACTTATGACAGCTTGGAGAATAACTAGCTCAACCCAAGTGAAGTATCATAACAACCACCACCAAACTGTCAAAAAGGAATGAAAAATATCAAGACTATAGATTAGGACAACAAAGATGAAATGAAATAAAATTCACAATTTAAGATTGTACCAAACTTAACCTGAAGTTTACGCAAAAGACTTGTATGAACATGATCATATCATATTAAGATAAATTATATTTGGAAGAACATTCTACCATAACTATTCCTTATTGAAACTAGGTAAGGTTCAAGTTGATGTTGCGATAAGATATTCAATGTGGTGAACAGAAGAGGTACCTGCAAAAAAATAATTAGCACTCCAACGCTCAAGTTAGTAGATGAATAAGATGAAACTTAAAAAATATGAATAAAAGAATACCTGACTTTGACATGATGTCATTCTTATATAATGGAGATGGATATAACTATCTTTGATTTGTTCAGTGTGAAATGTAGATGAATTATAGTTGTTAGATCAACGGTTGAGAAGGAAGGGGGTCGTGTTCTTGTAAGTTGTCCAAGAGTGAGAGTTCACTTTATTTTGCAAACTATTACTAGATTAAACATGAAGATTGGGGCAAGTCTTAAAATAAAAACCTAAAAGAACTATATAACATCACCAAATCATTAGCATACTCCAAAGTTAAAACCAACAAATTCCAAATCAACCTTTATTCAAAAAATTAAAAAAATCAACCTCAAAAGATGAAGATAAAAATAGTATGTTTACACTGCAGGAAAATAGATTCATAATTCACCACATATGTCTTTCAATCAAAATTAGTTACCATATAAGGATTCATTTTAGAAATGTGATTAATATGATTTCGTTCTTGGATATTATTTTGGGAATTGAAAATCAGGAAATAGATTTTTAATTATAACTTACCATATAAGAATAGTAATAGTAGAACCATTTGAAATATAACTACTTACCATGCAAGAAATCACATAAACAATAAAAACTGAACGCTTAAAGAAGAACTTGAAATAACAAATACACTAAAATTGCATAGTAGTTTAAACAATAACAGATTAACAAATAAGGTATTTATATATAAATAGAGATCTTTACATTTAAATATAGAAATAGGCGGAAAATATATGACAACCAAATATTTTTATTCTTTGGAACAATTGCCTTCAAATTGCAGATTTTGGATTTCAAAATTAGCCACAATTTACGAAACACCAGATGGAGATACTTTGCCAAATGTGCCAAAAAAGATATTCATCGAAAACAAAAGCCTCAGCTATGTTGTTCATCTTATGAAATAAAATGAGTTTTCTAAAAAGTCTTGCTTACTTAACCCTACCATGTCAGACAATCAAAAGATGACTGAAAAAGTGCACCAGTAGAAAAAATGCCTTGCAGCAACTTTAACGGCCCACAAATAGGATCTATAACACCGATGATAAAAATTGCACATTCTTAGAAACAGTGACTGAAATGTACATGACTCGAATTCCTTAGAAAATATCTTACCGTCCGTAGAAGCTGATGGTTCCAATAATGAATTTTGATGCCCAGTGAAATCCTTAGAGGAAACGAATTCCTATTCCTATACATCATAAATAACAGAAACAAACAGTAAAAGAGTACAAGAAAAACACTAGATGGAGTAAGCGAGAAGAGATATACTCCACAATTCTGTTCACACCAATGTGTGCGTGAAGTTCACGGACACAAACTTCCAGCCAATTTTTGCTAGTACTTGTATTGTACCCAATTTGAAACATGACAGTTAGAGCTTCCACATAATACCAAAGGAGCTATTGGACCTACATCATAAATTAGAAATAACAACAGACCCCAGTGATTAGAAAACGTTATGTATCCTTAAATACTCTTTCACCGGAGATAATTTATACAAAGAAGCAGATACACTTATCTCCAATTTTTCCTCTATAGACCAACTAAAATGGTGGGAATATGATTCAGAATTAAGAAAACTTTTGTCGTACAGCAAACTTACTGTCAGCAACAGACAATAAATGTACAGAAAAATTAAACTTACAGATAGGTTGTAGAAAAAGAACCAAGAAGAAAGAAAGAATATAGCATAAATCTCCAAACCAAGTTGCAGATCAGCATAACAGAGAGGTCCACCAATTTTTCCAAATGTCTCAAATATTATGTAAACTTTTGCGCTTCCAAAAGCCAACAATTTCCGTCCAAAAGAGATTTTTGTTGAGTACTTGTTACTTCGACTTTATAACATGAAATACGTTTTTCAAATTTGTAATATACCGCCCTTTCATCTTTTGATTTGTAATATAAGAATAACTAGCACAACCAGATTTTTCCATGATCCTACAGTCCAACTCACCTGCACTGAATAGTAATACAAAATAACTTAAATTATGGTACAAATATTTTTTCTAAAAACAAAAATATCGGAGATTTTTTTACACACTTGCCATACTATTTAAAATTAAATAGTATAATACCAAAGTTAGAAAATTATTCTTCAAAATGGTGTGGTTATAGGAAGCACTCCTCAAACGAGTTAAAAACATAATCAAATCTAAAAAGAATTTGTAGTCATTTCATTAATATTAATATTAATAAAATTAATTCCAAAACATAAGAGAATGTAAACTGAAATAAACATGAGATGCAGGAATAATCCAAACTCCAAGTGCATTTAGATACGTCACAAGAAGCCTAACTAATTCCAAAATATTAATCTAGAGCATTAACAAAGATGGACTCATCAAAGCTATGAAGACACTAATGCTCATAATCGAACAAACTAAATGAAATCAACAAAGAAGATTCAAATCAATAAACATGTAGAGAAAATGATTGTAGTGAATTTCAACTTTAGAATGAAAGACAACTGCCCATTTTCTCAGATTTATGTTGCAGGAAATACTTTCGGAAGAATGCACTGATAATATAGTTAGTTTCAAATGACCTAGATTAATCAAAGAAAATTAAAATAATAACCAAATGCAGATTTCGGTGATGTGTACGATAAATAGAAAATGGAACGAGAGAGAAAGATAGAGAGATTACATGAACTTGAAGAGAACAACATTGAACTTCAGACATACTAACGTCACCGCTGCCAATTAATGTTACACTCTCTTCGCTAGTAACACTTTCGTTTTCAGGATCGTCTTCAACTAATTGGACCTTTTGTTCAATACTCAAAGATCTGGCCTTCCAGAGTGCCATGATAGTCCTACATTAGCAGAAGAATATATTTTTAGATTCGACGTTGTGTTCTATGTTTAAAACTCTAAAGTTTGACATAACATATACCTATTGGCGACATTGAAAGACACAAAAAGATTGGAAATGGAACTTGAGTCTGCCTTGTTCATCTTGCGTTTTTGCACCGTGTTTTGCATCCACGCCTCTCCCTGGACGAAGAGTTACGACAATTATAGGACTGCCCATTGATGAAAATGTAGGAGGAACGACCTGTATGTCTTCTATGTCTTCCCAAAGCAAAAAGAATTTTGTCTTGTGTCTAAACAAATTTGCATGAAATCCCATTATTCTTGCTGAAACAAATATACGACCCTGCCGAGATTCATAGGCAACTTGATGAGATAATATTAATAAAGAAACATGTGCCAAAATAAAATTCGACCACTTTCGAAATCACAGAACGTAATACTTAAACCTGTAGGGGCATTTTTCTTTTCAAATGACAGGTGAAATCATTGATGAGAAATTCCTCGGGTGGAAATCCAAAGAGTTTCTGAAAGGCTGAATTTGTTGGAGGAGATCGTAAACTAATCTACTGTAAATATATGAAGAAAAATAAGCCAAAGAAAAGTGATCTACCGATAATATACGAAGAAAAACTACCAAACAACTGATAGCACAAACGGATCCATACCTTCTTCCTCACTTCTTTCTCCATTTTACTTATATAGTGTTTTACGACATTCCCACCTCTAGTGTTGTCCAAGAAAATTCTTAAGTGCACTTTAGTGTGGCATGCTAGAGCTAACTTTCCTTCAAGAGACACCCATAAATCAGCAAGATCTGATATGTTTGTTTTAAGGAAGTTGATTTCCGCATGTCCTAGAGATTGAGGTTCGCCAAAGGGTCCGTCAAAATCACAAACTTCCACTTCCAACATAGATGGAGGCTCATCCATTGCATCAAACTCAAATATTTCTGCGAAGATAGTCTTCATCATACATTGATGTAGGGGGAATCATATGACATGCGAATGTCCAAAGTTTTACGAAACACAAGTTCAAATAAAGTGGAACTACTTTAGCAAAAAAAACAGTATACCAGCTGCTGTTTCAGAGTAGAGTTACTGGTAAGCCAAATGAGAACTGATATATCGAAGATGATAAAATAAGAATGAATTCACAAACTGAGGAAGATAGATCCCGAAGAAATCACATGGTCAAATTTTCTCCTACAATCACAGAAACCACCAACATTACCACATTACACCATAAAAACATAACTTCAATCCATAGCAAGTACATTTAAGGAAAAAATGGCATGTTTTATCCTTAGGGTCAAAGCATGTCCTTGATAATCTCACTATTCACAGTCCATATACTCTCTGACACCCACATAGCATTTAAGGAATCAAGAAAACTAAAATCCTAAGATAAAAGAGAAGAATCCATATTCTGAGTATAGAACACCAGATAAAAACATAAGAACTGTGATAATATATTATCAAAGCCAATTGCAGATTGGTGCTCCATGTGAAAGGGAAAAAAATTGGGCTTCCCTACTTCGAAAAATATCCATTTGTGATTATTCTTATTCTTATATATAACACAAATGATTATTCTTATATATAACATAAATGACAAGAATGTAGTAAAGTTATCATAACAAAGGAAGTGGCTAACAGAAAAAAAGTGATCCAAACCAAATTGTCAAGAATTCCTTGGCTCGGGCAGAAAGATGTACTCTAATCTAGAATCTTGTATGCTTCAATATTATGATTCTGCTACAAAAATACAAAAACTCCCAGAACACACCATCTAAAAAACATAGATATTGGAAAAAAGAAGGGATGTATCCCAACGTTGCCACAGGCCACAGGCCGCAACACACCAGACTTTCATAGGTTGTCTCTGTCTCCCCTATAAGACTCGCACAAAATTCAAAGGAATACAAAATTGCCAAGTATCAAACACAATGAAATGTTAATTGTCTTTCTTATTAGAAATGAGCTATTTGCAAGTACACCCAATATGAAACATGACAGTTTGAGCTTCCATCTAATACCAAATGAGCTATTGGGCCTGCATCATAAATCAGAAATAACAGCAGACCCCAGGGAACATATCGCAAAACATACTTAACCAAGTTGTCAAAATTAAACTGACCTCTAGGTTGTAGAAAAAGAACCAAGAAGAAAGAAAGAATATTATATGATTCTCCAAACCAAGTTGAAGATCAGCATAACAGAGAGAGGCCGGCAAATTTGTCCGAGTGTCTCAAAAATTAAGTAAGCTTTTGCGCTTTCTAAATACAGAAACCCAAATGTAAACAAACATTTGTAAGAAAAAAGTAGAATCAATGTCAAGAACCGTTAAGACAGACTTTTCAATTAAACATCAATAGACTAATAAAAAATAAAACATCCAATTGAAATCACAAAGGAATACCAATATAAACTCGAGGCTTGAATACTACACATCCTAAATTAGAGCCATATTTCAATTCACATGTATTGCGATAAAAGCCAAAACAAAATCAAACCTCAAAATCAAGACACCAGAAAGAAATCAGAATACAAAACAGGAAGATAATATGCTCCAGAACTACCTTTCCTGCAACACCAGAGGAAATAAAAGATCAACAATAATATGCTTTCAAAAGGGATAAAGATTTATTGAAAACTAAGATTTTAAAAGAGATCACCAAATAAAAAACTCAGGCTCCATGCTATATTGAAAATTGTTTTGATAAACCAAGCTGCAGAAAAACCAGTTTAGAATTCAAATCGCATGTCTTGTGATCAAAGTCTCAAGACGTCTCCTTTGTATGTCTTGTGATCAAATTCTGAAAATAAAGTTAATACAGAACGACTCCTTTCTATAACCATTATCGTTCTTATCCATTGTAATAAAGAATTGCAAACTGCTCCAAATACCTAGAAATCAATTCGCTGCAATACAGATAAGTGCATGTCAATATTCTTTTAATTTTAACAGCACTGAACGATTAACTTTAACATCATTGATTGAACTATTATCACCATTATTTGATATCAATCTGCAAAGGAGTAAATCGAGAAAATAAGAACATAATGAGTAAATCGAGAAAACAAAACCATAAAGGAATAAATCGAGAAAACAAAACCATAAAGGAGTAAATCGAGAAAACAGGGCAATAAAACTATATAGAAGAAATGAAATGAAAAGAATTCTCCATACAAGAGTATATTTATAAAAAAAAATCTGATGACTTGATTATATATTGCTTGATACTACACACAACAATATTGTTGCAAAACACAACATAACAGAAAAAAGTACAAGGGAGTTGCCAATAAATGCAATCATTACCATTATTTGATATCAGTCTGTAATACCTTAGACAGAAAATTCACACCAAAACTCAAGGGAGTTGCGAATAAGTGCTGCCAACAAATTAAACGCAAAACACCCATATGTACCCAGAGAATAATAGTTGACGTAAAAGAACAATCATTTAAAACCCTTCCTTACAATAATAATAGTAGACACTAACTTCCAAGGTCAAAACTAACAAAAACCAAATCAAACCTAAGAATCAAGAAACCAAAAAATCAACAGCCATGATGATCAAACAAGAGGAAAATAGAACTAGAAGAAATTGTGTGGTTTCCTGCAACACCAAAGAGTAAACACCAAATCAAAGATGTTCTTTCAGAATCGATAAAGAAATATTGGAAATAAAAAGAATTTGATAGAGTTCACCAAATCAAAAATCAAAATGCTAAGCTCAAGGTTATTGGTTGGACAACTACGCTACATAAAACCACTTTTAGAAATCAATTTATGCCAACAAATTAAACACAAAACACCCATATGTACACAAAGAATAAATAGTTGACGTTAAAGAACATTCATTTAAGACCCTAATAATAATAATAATAGTGGACAGTAACTTCCAAGGTCAAAACTAACAAAACAAATTAAACCTAAGATTCAAGAAACCAAAAAGTCAACAGCCATGAACATCAAAACAAGAGGAGAATAGAACAAGAAGAAATCGTGCAGATCCTGCAACACCAAGGAGTAAACACCAAATCAAAGAAGATATTCTTAGAGAATCGATAAAGAAATATTGAAAATAAAAAGAATTTGATAGAGATCACCAAATCAAAAATCAAAATGTTAAGCTCCATGCTATGAAGGAGGTTATTGGTTGGACAACCACGCTGCATAAAAACACTTTTAGAAATCAATTTGTATGCCTTGCAATCAAAGGCCGGAAATAAAAATAGCAAAAAAAGACCCATTGAAAAAATTTGATTTAGCTATCTGGGGGTTATTTTCTGTTCGTGTTGTTGTATCAAGACATTATGCATTTAAATGAAGAATTAAATATAAATAATAGAAACAAGTCTAGTCAACAAATGTGTAAGAGAGTCGAGAGAAGTATGATTGTGTGAACAAGAACAAGTAACTTTATAATCAAGAAATCAGAAACACATCCCCTCCTGCAACACCAGAGAATAAAAAGTCAAGAAATCAAAAATCATATCCTCTCCGGCAACTTAAAAGAGTAAATAACAAATCAAAAAATATATGGTCTACAGAAAACTATAAACTAAAAAAATCTACAAAAGATGCCCTAATTAAGATCGAGGATCTCATGCAATGAAGGTTATTAATTTGAAAAACCGAACTGCAGAAGATATGTTCACAGTTCATTTGGAATGTCTTGAAATCAAACCAAAAATTTAAAAATAACAAACAACTGATCATTGAAAAATTGGATTAAATTGGATTTATCTTGAGTTGTTCTCCACAACTTCCGCAATCCTGTAACACTCACATGGAACACCCAAAAAGACAGAAACAAGAAACAAAAAAAAAAGCTGCCCAGTAAAGAAGAAATTAAAAAATAGAGAAAATAGAAGACAGACATTAGAATCAAGGAATCAAAAGTACATCCTTTCCTGCAACCCCAAAGAATACATAACAAGTTCTTATGCTCTAGAAAGAATCAAGAAATATTAAACAAAAAGAATTTACAAGAGAGGGCCAAATCAAAACATGAGGCTCTCTTGCAATGAATGTTGTTAATTTGATAAAATCTGCAAGCAAAATGAAAAACATGTTCACAGTTCATTCGAATGTCTTGACATCAACACAAAGAAAAAAATAATAAAGAACAATCACTAAAAATATTTGATTTCTCTGTAGTAGTTCTTAGGTTCTTATCTGTTGTATAAAGAAAACTAGATTCCAAAAGACAAAAACATAAAGAATTCATAGTCAGAGTAGAGATCACCAAATAAAAGGATAACAATGAAAATATATATGTCACAGCCAATTACAAATTAGTGTTTTTGTGAAACAACAAACTTAATGTCTGAAAAGTCAGACAAATGTAAGAAAAACCAGACTCAACACACGAGTGTGGATCCTCTGACTTTATTGAGGGAACTGCACCTTACCTTTCACTAGCTCTTCTTCAAAATAACACAATTTCTCTCTAATGTTTTCCCTCCATTTGTTCACCTCTTTTTCACTTCTCTCTCATGAAATAATCCTAAAGTTAGGGAAAGTTAGAGAATAAGAAGTTAGAGAATCTGCTTCCCCAAAACATCTAAAAGGTTAAATATGTATTAAATCAATGTTATTAATGAAAAATTAAAGACTAATTTTAATTATGATATTTTTAATTCTTTAATAATAGATGGCTAAATGAAATTTAAATACTACCATTTATATGTAGTGGTGTCGATGTACTATGTTTTTGACATTATCGATGTCGTAGTGAAGATGTTGTGTCTTGGTGTCAATGTCGGATTCGGTGCTTTATAAGTTAAATATGTATTAAAGCAATATTATTAATGAAAAATTAAAGAATAATTTTGATTATGAGATTTTTAACTCTTTAATAATAGATGGATAAATGAAATTTAAATACTATCATTTATATGTAGTGGTGTCAATGTACTATGTTTTTGACATTATCAACGTCAGAGTGACAATGTCGTATCTTGGTCGGATTCGGTGCTTTATAGGATATAAGTCCCTAACAATAGAAACACACAAAAGCTTCAACACCAGAAGAAACACAAACTTCAACAACAACTTGTACAATATCAAAAGGCAAACTTCAAGAAAGATATGCTCTCAGGATTGGAAACAAAAATAATTTAATACAGATCACTAAATCAAAAAGCTAGCTGATGTGCATGCTTTAAAGAAGGTTATTATTAAGACAAACCAAACTGCAGAAAAACATGTTCAAAATTCAACTTGCATGTCTTGTAATAAAAGACAGAAAAAGAATCATTGAAATCTAATTTATCTATCTGGAGCTGTTCTCTGTTCTTGTGTGTAGTATCATGAGGTTTTAGATATGAAGGAAATTCTTGCCTCGCTGCAAAATGGATATACATATCTCTTAATTATCAAATGAAAACATGTGTCAAGTCAGTTTCATGTGTGTGCTTCATAGATTATATCTATACCCAATTCCATTAATAAAATAATTGATGCAAAATTATAAATATTCTGTATTGAAACAATGTAAGGTTGAAGATGACTGTTGCTGTAAGACTTCCGGTGTAGTGGTCAGAGGGAGTACCTGCAAAAGGTTAGCACTCCAACGCAGACTTCCGGTGTAGTGGTCAGAGGGAGTACCTGCAAAAGGTTAGCACTCCAACGCTCAAATTAGTATGTGAATGAGATGTAACTTGATAAATGAGTAAAAAAATACCTGGTTGTGACATAGAGTCACACTTATATAGTGGAGACGGTTATAACTATCTCTGATTTCCCCAACATGAAGTGTTGACAACCGTAGTTGTAGATCAACCGTTGAGACGATCGTATTTTTGTACGTTATAAATGAGAGGTAATTTCATAAATAAGTAAAAACATACCTGGTTGTGACATAGAGTCACACTTATATAGTGGAGACGGTTATAACTATCTCTTATTTGCCCAACAAGAAGTGTTGACAACCGTAGTTGTAGATCAACCGTTGAGACGATCGTGTTTTTGTACGTTATCCAAGAATGAGAGTTCATATTTTGCATGACCTTACTAGATTAACCTAAAGATTGAGACAAGTCTTAAAACAAAACCTAAATGAATTAAATAACTTCATTCAAACCAAAAAAACAAAATCAAACCTCATTCAAACCAAAAAAAACAACCTCAAAAGATGAAGTAAAAATAGTATGCACATCCTGAAATATAAAAAGAATTTACCATAGATCACCAAATTAAAACTGAGGCTGCCATGAAGAACGTTTATATTTTAAAAAACCACACTACAGAAAAATAGATTCATAATTCACCGTTTATGTCTTTCAATTAGAATTAGCAATGAAGGAGGATTCATTTTAGAAATTAGATTTATATGATTTCATTCTTGGTTATAATTTTGGGAATTAAAAATCGGGAAAGGTTCTGGATATTTCAACTAGATGAACATCAAATAGATTCTTAATAACTTACCATATAAGAATAGTTATAGTATAACTACTTGAATTATAATTATAACTTATCATACACCCAACCAACATGTCCAAAATCTTAATGAATCACATAAACAATAAAGACTGAACGTTTACAAAAGAAATTGAAATAACAAATGCACTAAAATTGCAGAGTAGTTTAAATAATAACCTATCAAGGAATACGGTATTTTAGATACAAAGAGATCTTCAGATTAAAATTTAGAAATAGGGGAAGAATATATGACACAACCAATAAAATGGTTATGCTTGGAACAATTGCCATCAAATTGCAAATTTTGGAACTCAATATAAGCCACAATTTACCAAACACCAGATGGAGATACTTTGTAAGATGTGCCAAAGAAGATATTCACCGAAAACAAAAGCTTCAATCACGCTGTTTATCTTACGAAATGAAACGACACTTCTACATAATCTTACTTAAATCTCAGCAGTTACTTTAACAGCCCGCTGATAGGACCAATAAAAACAATGATAAAAATCAAACAGAATTAAAATTACACATTTTTAGAAACTCTGGCTGAAATGTACATGACTCGAATTCCTTAAAAAATATCTTACAGTCTGCAGAACATGATAGCTCCAATAATGAATTGTGGTGCCTGATGAAAATCTTAGAGGAGAGGAATTCCTATTCCTATACATAATAAATAACAGAAACACACAGTAAAAGAGTACAAGAATGACTATCTTTAGATGTAAATCATCAAATCAACCACGGCCACAAATTGATGAAATATAGAGAAGGTAGCAAGAGATATACTCCACAATCCTGTTTAGCAATTTGTGCATTAAATCATGGGAGGACTTTTGTGGAACAAATATATACGGGTACGTTAACAGTAATTGTGATTGTCACCGCATTAAAAAAACCAAGGCTTGATGCTACAAAGAAATTAATTTTTTCAACACAGTAAGCCTAATGAAAATCTGATAACAAAATACAAAATATTTCAGTGATGAATTTAGAAAGGAATTAGGTGTCATAAACTCACATATCCAATAAAACCCGCATGACCTTTTTCAATATTTTTGGACTTGTCACCGACTACAAGAAGTCTGATAATAATGAGTAGTCTTTCCCCTCATGTTAATTAAGCAATCAAAGATGGTATTTTGATTTAATACAAACATCAAGAAATCCAAATAATTCCAACAAACCTACATGAACACAGCCTGGTCTTGAGAAGACTTTTAGAGCTTTTCACGAATTCAATTTTGAATCATAGTATACCAATGTTTTATAAAACACAAATAAAGTGGAACTACTTTGGCCAAGAAAACAGCATACCAGCTGCTGGTAAGCCAAATGAAAACTGATACATAGAAGGTGATAAAATAAAAATGAATTCCAAACTGAGGAAGATAGATCCCGAAGAAATCATGTGGTCAAAGTTTTCTCATTTAAGGAAAAAATGGCCAGTTTTATCCTAAGGCTCAAAGCATGTCCTTGATAATCTCGCCACAGCTTTTGCAGTCCATATACTCCCTGTGACACCCACATGGAATTTAAGGAATCAAGAAAACTAGATTCCCAATATACAGAAAAGAGAAGAATTCATATTCAGAGTATAGATCACCAGATAACAACATACTAACTGTGATAATATATGCCACGGCGAATTGCAGATTGGTGCTCCATGTGAAATGGAAAAATTCGGGCTACCCCACTGACAATTATCCATTTGGGAGAATGTAGTGAAACAATTATAACAAAGAAAGTAGCTGAAACTGAAACAGTGAACCAAACAAAGTTGTCACAAATTCCTTGGCTCGAGAAAGAAAGATGTACTCTAGTCTAGAATCTTGTATGCTTCTGCTACAAAAATACAAAAACTCCAACGCTCCTGGAACACCATCAAAAATAATACAAATATCATAAAAATGAAGGGTTATTCCCAAAGTTGGAAGAACAGTATGTTAACCTCTGTTGCCACAGGCCACAGCACACCAGACTTCCATAAAAATGAATGGTTGTCTCTGCTTCCCCTATAAGACTCGCAGAAAATTCAAAGGAATTCAAAATTGCCTGGTATCAAACACATTGAAATGTTAATTGTCTTAGTAGGAATGACTAAATTAAAGAATGCAACACAACCTCTGAAAACATGATGGTTCCCGAACACAAACTTCCAGCCAATTTGCAAGTACTTGTCCCCAATATGAAACATGACAATTTGAGCTTCCGCATAATTCCAATGGAGCTATTGGGCATACATCATAAACCATAAATAACAACAGACGCCAAGGAGCGGATCGTCAAAACGTACCTAACCATGTTGTCCAAATTAAATACTACAAAACATATACCCCAGCTAGCAAAACATTTTTGATTACGTATCCTTTATTCATTAACCGGAGATAATTTATACAAAGAAGTAGATACAATTTTCTCCAATTTCTTCACCATAGACCAACTAAAAAGGTGGGAGTGTCATTCAGAATTAAGAAACCTTTTGTTGTACAACAAGCTTACACGGTCTGCAAGACGATAAATGTAAAGAAAAATTAAACTGACATATAGCTTGTAAATAAAGAACCAAGAAGAAAGAAATAATATAGCATAATTCTGCAAACCATGTTGCAGATCAACATAACAGAGAGAGACCCACCAATTTGTCCGAATGTCTCAAAAATTATGTAAACTTTTGCCCTTCCTAAATACAAAATCCAAAATGTAGAACAACATTTGTAAAAAAAAACTAGTATTGATGTCAAGAACCCTAAAGACTGAATTTTTAAATTAAACATCAATAGACTAATCAAAAGTAAGAGTGTCTTCACATGAAAGCAAAGAAATAAAAATAACAGGACAAATCACTGAAAAAATTGGATTTCTCTAGTAGTTTTCGGTTTTTATCTATTGTATCAAGAAAACTAGATCCCAAAAGACAAAAACATAAGTCTGACAAGTGTCGGAAAAATCAAACAAGAGTCCCCACACCCGTAAGACATTGACGGGGAATCTAAACGCGTCCTTAAAAAAATTGTTTTTTTTTTCTGTTTTAACCCACCTTGTACATTTTTAAGACAAATCTCAAACATGCAATCTAAGAGATTAAATTAAATATGCATTGAAACTATACAGCGAAAAATTAAAGTCAATAATTTTAGTTAGGATATTTTTAACACTTCTAACACTATCGGTGTTGGTGTACTATGTCTTTGACATTATCGGTTTCAAAGTGTGTGTCTCAGGTCCTAGTGTCTGCACCGGATTCAGTGCTACATAGGATATAAGTCCCTAATAATAGAAACACACAAAAGCTTCAACACTGGAAGAAACACAAACTTCAACAACAGCATGTACAAGATCAAAAGTCGACTTCAAGAAAGATTCGCTCTTAGTATTGAAAACAAAAATAATTTAAAAAAGATCACCGAATCAAAAGGCTGGGCTGCTGCATGCTTCGAAGGTTATTATTTTGAGAAACCAAGCTGCAGAAAAAAATGCTCAAAACTCAATTTGCATGTCTTCCAATATAAGCCAGGAAAAAGAAAAGAAAAAGAATCATTGAAGAAATCTGATGTATCTATCTGGAGCTATTCTCTGTTCTTGTGTGTCGTATCATGAGTTTTTCGATATGAAGATATCTTTTACTTACCAAACTATCAAATGAAAACCTGTGTCAAGTCAGCTTCATGTGTATATGCTTCATACATTATATCTATAAATTAAACAAATGATTCATAGTAACTTAAATCCATTATTAAAACACGATCAGCCATATGAGATAACGTATGAAGTTACAACGCAAATCCATCATGAAAACACAAGCAGCAACAAAAGCTTCAACACTGGAAGGAACACAAACTTCAACAACAGCATGTACAAAAGCTTCAACGCTGGATTCGGTGCTACATAGGATATAAGTCCCTGATAATAGAAACACACAAAAGCTTCAACACTGGAAGAAAGACAAACTTCAACAAGAGCATGTACAAGATCAAAAGTCGACTTCAAGAAAGAATCGCTCTTAGGATTGAAAACAAAAATAATTTAAAAAAGATCACTGAATCAAAAGTCTAGGCTGCTGCATGCTTCGAAGAAGGTTATCATTTTGACAAACCAAGCTGCAGAAAAAAATGTTCAAAACTCAATTTGCATGTCTTCCAATATAAGCCAGGAAAAAGAAAAGAAAAAGAATCATTGAAGAAATCTGATGTATCTATCTGGAGCTATTCTCTGTTCTTGTGTGTCGTATCATGAGTTTTTAGATATGAAGATATCTTTTACTTACCAAACTATCAAATGAAAACCTGTGTATATGCTTCATACATTATATCTATAAATTAAACAAATGATTCATAGTAACTTAAATCCATTATTAAAACACGATCAACCATATGAGATAACGTATGAAGTTACAACGCAAATCCATTATGAAAACACAAGCAGCAATATGGGAAAACGTCCCCATTAAAGATCAACAATCTGAGAAAATGTATCAAAATGCAACGCAAATCCATCAAGAAAACACATTCAGCAGTTTGAGGAAACATATCAATACACAACGGAAATCCATTAAGAAAACACGATCAGCAAACCCTAACATCAAGCCATGATGGAACAAACAATTTGAAAAAGTCATATGTCAGAGAAATAAAAAATATTTAAGTACAGAATTGAAGAAATTTGATTACTCTAAAGGCATTCTCCGCTATCCATTACATCAAGAATCCCAAATCGCTACAAAACAGATAAACGAATATCTTGATTATCCAATGAAGAATTATATCAAAAGATTCTTGATAACTGATCCATAAAAGAAAAGTCGCATGATTCGGAAAATTCTCAATTTCTCTAAATAAGACAGTGTAAAACGTTGGATAAGATACATATGGATTTAGAATTAATATTGTATCATTCAAATTTGTATATCAAATATTATCATTTGAATTTATTGTATCTTTGCAGGATAAGATATGAATTTTTATGGGATTAAAAACCTAATATAAGATGGATATTTCAACTAGCTGAACATCAAATAGATTCTTAATTATAACTTACCATATAAGAATAGTTATAGTAGAACTATTTGAAATTTAATTATAACTTACCATGCAACCCAACCAACATGTCCAAAATCTCAAGAAATCACAGTGAACAAAACCATGCAGAAATCACAAACAATAAAAACTGAACGGTTACAAAAGAAATTAAAATAACAAATGCTCTAAAATTGAAGGATTTAGGGATTTATATACAAATACAGAGAAATAGGGGAGAATTGAAGGATTTAGGGATAAATATACAAATAGAGAGAAATAGGGGAGAATATTTATATACAAATAGAGAAAAATGGAACTACTTTAGCCAAATTGTAGTCATTTCATTAATATTAATATTAATAAAATTAATTCCAAAACATAAGAGAATGTAAACTGAAATAAACATGAGATGTAGGAATAATCCAAACTCCAAGTGCATTTAGATACGTCACAAGAAGCCTAACTAATTCCAAAATATTAATCTAGAGCATTAACAAAGATGGACTCATCAAAGCTAATGAATAAAGCTATGAAGACACTAATGCTCATAATCGAACAAATTAAATGAAATCAACAAAGAAGATTGAAATCAATAAACATGTAGAGAAAATGATTGTAGTGAATTTCAACTTTAGAATGAAAGACAACTGCCCATTTTCTCAGATTTATGTTGCAGGAAATACTTTCGGAAGAATGCACTGACAATATAGTTAGTTTCAAATGACCTAGATTAATCAAAGAAAATTAAAATAATAACCAAATGCAGATTTCGGTGATGTGTACGATAAATAGAAAATGGAACGAGAGAGAAAGATAGAGAGATTACAGGAACTTGAAGAGAACAACATTGAACTTCAGACATACTAACGTCACCGCTGCCAATTAATGTTACACTCTCTTCGCTAGTAACACTTTCGTTTTCAGGATCGTCTTCAACTAATTGGACCTTTTGTTCAATACTCAAAGATCTGGCCTTCCAGAGTGCCATGATAGTCCTACATTAGCAGAAGAATATATTTTTAGATTCGACGTTGTGTTCTATGTTTAAAACTCTAAAGTTTGACATAACATATACCTATTGGCGACATTGAAAGACACAAAAGATTGGAAATGGAACTTGAGTCTGCCTTGTTCATCTTGCGTTTTTGCACCGTGTTTTGCATCCACGCCTCTCCCTGGACGAAGAGTTACGACAATTATAGGACTGCCCATTGATGAAAATGTAGGAGGAACGACCTGTATGTCTTCTATGTCTTCCCAAAGCAAAAAGAATTTTGTCTTGTGTCTAAACAAATTTGCATGAAATCCCATTATTCTTGCTGAAACAAATATACGACCCTGCCGAGATTCATAGGCAACTTGATGAGATAATATTAATAAAGAAACATGTGCCAAAATAAAATTCGACCACTTTCGAAATCACAGAACGTAATACTTAAACCTGTAGGGGCATTTTTCTTTTCAAATGACAGGTGAAATCATTGATGAGAAATTCCTCGGGTGGAAATCCAAAGAGTTTCTGAAAGGCTGAATTTGTTGGAGGAGATCGTAAACTAATCTACTGTAAATATATGAAGAAAAATAAGCCAAAGAAAAGTGATCTACCGATAATATACGAAGAAAAACTACCAAACAACTGATAGCACAAACGGATCCATACCTTCTTCCCCACTTCTTTCTCCATTTTACTTATATAGTGTTTCACGACATTCCCACCTCTAGTGTTGTCCAAGAAAATTCTTAAGTGCACTTTAGTGTGGCATGCTAGAGCTAACTTTCCTTCAAGAGACACCCATAAATCAGCAAGATCTGATATGTTTGTTTTAAGGAAGTTGATTTCCGCATGTCCTAGAGATTGAGGTTCGCCAAAGGGTCCGTCAAAATCACAAACTTCCACTTCCAACACAGATGGAGGCTCATCCATTGCATCAAACTCAAATATTTCTGCGAAGATAGTCTTCATCATACATTGATGTAGGGGGAATCATATGACATGCGAATGTCCAAAGTTTTACGAAACACAAGTTCAAATAAAGTGGAACTACTTTAGCAAAAAAAAAACAGTATACCAGCTGCTGTTTCAGAGTAGAGTTACTGGTAAGCCAAATGAGAAAGATGATAAAATAAGAATGAATTCACAAACTGAGAAAGATAAATCCCGAAGAAATCACATGGTCAAAATTTTCTCCTACGATCACAGAAACCACCAACATTACCACATTACACCATCCAAACATAACTTCTATCCATAGCCAGTACATTTAAGAAAAAAATGGCCTGTTTTATCCTCAGGGTCAAAGCATGTCCTTGATAATCTCGTCATTCAGTCCATATAATCTCTGTGACACTCACATGGAATCTATCTGGAACTGTTCTATGCTCTTGTGTGTGTCGTATCAGTCAGTTTCATGTGTGTACTTCATAAGATCTGAGAAAACGTATCAAGGTGCAAGGCAAATCCATTAAGAAAACAATCGATCTGAGAAAACGTACCAAGAAGCAACGCAAATCCATTAAGAAAACACGATCAGCCATCTAAGAAGAACACGGTCTGCAGTCTGAGAAAATGTATCCATTTAGAAAACGTATCAGAATCCAGATAACGTATCAAGATGCAACGCAAATCCATTAAAAAACACGATCAACAATCTAAGAAAACGAAACAAATCCATTAAGAAAAGAGGATTAGCAAACCCTAACATCAAGCCATGAAATTCAATTTCTCTAACCGTTCTCTGTTCTTATCCATTACATCAAGAATCCCGATTCGCTGCAAAACAGAAACGAATATCTTGATAATCCAATGAAGAATCATATCAAAAAGAAGAGTCTAATGATCCGAAAAATTCCCAATTTCTACAATCCGAAAAGCATATCAATAAACAAATCCCTAACAATTTTCCTCTTAGAAAGCGGATCAAGAAAACAAGAAAAGCAAACTATGAAAACCAGCCATCACGAAGCCCGTAGAACGTAAAAGAAGAGATAGATAACGAGAAAAATGTAAAACGAGCTATTTTTGATATTTTCGAAAGAGGGTGGAGAGGTTTATATAGAAGGTTGAAGCGGGATTAACGTCTCTGATATCGCAGATGGAGGAAAAATTAACGGTGATGATGCAATTAAAATAAAACTGTTACGCGTTTTTCTCAAATGCGGTGTAAAACGCTTGAATAGATAGATTTAGAATTAAAATTAAAAATTATGTAGTTAATTTTACAATATCATCCAATAAAATTAAACTGTTTAAAGTCAATAAAAATAATAATTAACTTTAATTTCTTAAAATAATAATATAATTTATCGTTTAATATAATTGTAATTGATTGACGATATAAAAATATTTTATAATATTAATATTATTATTTTTTTAGAATTAATGTTATATTATTAAAATGTGTATATTAAATATTATCATTTAAATTTGTATATATGTTTTATAGAATATAAGATATGAAATTTGTATGGGATATGAATCTGATAATGATATAGATGAATATTTTTGTTTTTTTTAAATAATGGGCTGTTGAAATTATTTTTAATTGGTAATGTTAATCTCTTAAATTCTATAAGAAGTTAAATAGTATATATATTATGTGGTTTACTTTCGATATAGATTAAATTTTTATATAGACTTAAACAAAATAAAGTGGAATAAAACTATGATTGCAATAATAAAAATTAGTATATTTATAATGAAAATATAATGCTATAATTGAAATTCAAAATAATAAATAAAAAATGTTCTTTTATTACTAACAATATAGTTAAACCAAAAGAAAATTTAGAGTTTTATTTTTAAATTATTATAAAATGAATTTATCTAATAATATCATGACTTATTATTAATTATCGGTATATTGTTTTGTAGAATATGAATTTAAATTTAATTTATTTTTATTTTTATTTTTAAAAAAAACTAAAAAAACTTTCTTGTTAATACTCTTTCTAATACTCGTTTTTTGTTAGAAAAACAAGATGTGAGTTTACTTCAAAAATAATTCTCAAATAATTATAAATTATTTTTAAAAACTAAAAATAAAATTGTAATTTTTTTGAAATATTTGATCAGTAAAGTAACAAAATAAACATGTATTATAACTAAAAAAATTAATAATAATAATAATAATAATAATAATAATAATAATAATAATAATAATAATAATAATAATAATAATAATAATAATAATAATAATAATAATAATAATAATAATAATAATAATAATAATAATAGTAATAATAATTAAATATTTATTAGTTGAAATTTTTTATGTTTTACCTATATTTGTGGATATTAACTAAAAGTATATATGGATGGATAATAATTATTAACAAATATATTTATAATAATTTACAGATTAGATCATTTTTAAAATACATCAAAATTTGAAAATAGTTTAAGATACTAAATAAAAAAGCAAACAGAAGTTGAAGATTTTATTAGTTGAAAATATTTTTTTTTTTTATATTTGTGGATGTTAGTTATTAACTCAGAAGTACATATCGATGGATAACAATTATTAATAAACATATTTATAATAATTTATAGATTAGACCATTTTCAAAATACATCA